ATAAAAACATATTCAAATTGAACTCGAGAAATGGATCAGCGTGAATAATTATTCAGGCTCAATAATGTGAAACTTGTTGACTACTGTGCAGCCCTATCCTAGATCAATGTAGAGAAGAAAACGCAGGATTTAAAAACAATGTATAACTCCAGCCTTGCATTTAAACTGAATGTATGGACAAAGCACAACTCCTATAACAGAAACGTTTTATTGTTTTTCAGAAAAACATCAATCACTTGATTTCAGCCCTCAGGGCTCATTCACCAGAATGTGGTGCGGGAAAGCCGTATCCCATGCACATTTCCAGCACCATGTTCAAAATGCACAGGGCGTGCGATCTTCTGTGGGTGTCAATGTATTCCTAATGACACTCCAAATGCAGATTGCAATACAGTACCATGCCGTCTTGTGCAGTGTGTTTCTGAAAATAGTGCATGCACTAGATTTGGTGCAATCCAGAATGATTTCAGCCCATTCATATGAATGGGCTGAAAACTGTACCACATTGAATCACACAGGAAGGTATATTAAAAGTTTTAACTTTTGACGTTGGTGTTGGGAGTTTAGCCCCTGCCAGGTCATTATTGCTGACTTCACCCCCACTAGAGAGACTCCTTTATATTTGTTCTTTTTCCCACAGTTATCAGAACTGGAAGTGAGGAAAAATTCAAAATTCTGAGTTGGAATTTTGGAGTAAAGGAAATATCCTCCAATGGCAACAAATGGCAAATGTGTATGGGGACTTTCCTAACTTTAAAGAGATATCATTTCACTTATTGCTGACTACAGAATAGGAAGTGAAGGAAAAGTTCTCCAATATGACATAGCAAAAAAATTACGTGTTTAAACCATTCCCCATTCTATCCAAATGTCTTCCTGTTACGGTGTTAGGTATACTTTAAACTTTATACTGGTATAGGAAGCAGTGTTACTAGTGGTGCCTGGATGTTATCTTCCTGGGATTACAAAAATACATCCCCCATCCTCTCTTTTTGACACTCACATGACTGAAAATGCCCCATGCTCTGGACTGTGCTGTCAATCAATAAAGGAGACGTGTGGCACTAGGCATTACTGAGCTTGTGCTGATGTTGGTACATAACAATTTAAACATTGTTAGGACATCCCTTCTGCACTCCAGCAGGGATGTGCAGGATGGATGGATAGATGAAAACACTGAAAGCACATTTTAGCATTGTTACCCACCTAAACTAAGTTAAAGAATTATCCCAATGTTCAATCTTTGTGTGGTAGAAGTAAGATATGCATTGTTGGAACCAAGACATGTTGAATGCTGTAGAGTACTAAAGACAGAGGTAGAATAGATAGACTCCCATTGCAGTAGAGCATGAAAATATCCTTCTGGACAAAATGTAAACTTAAGAAAAAAGCATGCACACATCAGGAAAAAAATAATGAACATTAAATACAAAGTAAATTGTTCTAGAGTCTTGTCACTTAATTTTTTAAATATACATTCATGTTACAGTGCCTTTTAATTTCATATATTCATTGTATAGCAGAATAGAAGGATGTTTAGATGAAAACCTGGTACCTTACAAATAGAAAAAAATACTCTACCTATCTAGGGAGTCCATACATCCTTGAGTGTATAGTAAGGCAATACTACAAAACCAAGCTTGCCTTATGATCCATATCACTAAATGATAAATATTGCTAAACTCTCATTTAATCCCTTCTTGTTCTATTGTTAGGCTCACAGGCTATATTAGGCATAGGTTATATTCCTGTCCACATTTACTTAAAGTGACACTAAATGATATCCTTATTTTCCATAAATATTCTATACACATCCACTACTTAAAAGAGAAGTATGGCCAAAGCTTTTCCTTTGACCCAGAGTGATAGGAAGCTATTGATGACAAAGCAGAGCCGCCTCAAGATTGACAGATGACTCCACCCTGCAGCACGCAGCTAAGAGCCTAAGCCAGCTGCTTCTGCCCCTCTCGAGCACGGTGCTCCAGTAAATGCTGAAGGAACAGAGTGGAAGTTCCTGATTGAGAGTCACTGCTTGGGACCATATTTGGTCTACCACCAAGGGGTCGTCGCAGAATATTGTGGCTTTGGGGACCAACTACAAAGTCTTAACCCGTTGGTACTTAATACCAGCGAGAATAGCTAAATATACCCCTAACTATTCTTCCGCATGCTTCAGAGGTTGCGTAGACCCAGGCACTTTCTTCCATACATGGTGGGAATGCCCAATCGCTAGGATCTTCTGGACAGAAATATTCAAAATGCTCTCCTTATTAAGTACGAAAAACCTCCATCCTAACCCGCTAATAGCGTTGCTTAACCTACGACCACCCGAAGTCACGAAACTACAATTTAAGCTTCTATTACAGGTTACTACAGCTGCCAAACAGGTCATTGCCAAATCATGGAAGTCTACGTCGCTTAACATTACCGCGGTCCGAAACAAAGTAACCCAGGCGATGATCCATGCTAAAGTAGAAGCCACAATCTTACATACTATCCCCAAATTTAGGATGATTTGGGACCCATGGGTAGAACATTTTCTACCCTCTAACTTTGTTGAAACTCTTCTCACCCCATAACCAACACTCCTAACTATTCTGGTACCCTCCCCTTTACTCCAGCAGCTCCCTTTTCTTCCTTTTTTTTTTTTTTTTCATTTGCAGAGTCGCATACCTTCCCCCTGTCTTTTCCCACCTTTACATTCCCTACCTAAGGTGTCCGTTTGTGAACCAGCGGTAATAGATCGCTGCTCAGTTCTCTGGCATTCTCGGAGAACACAGTTTTCCTGTGAATGCAGTTTATGAAGCAGTTCTCCGAACGAAGGGAGAACGGTCTCCAAACGCTGGAGAACGGTCTACAAGCTCTGAAAAAACGGCTCATTTTACTATAATCTCTCGAGATTATAGTAAAAGATCAGTTTACTAAACAGAGGTAAATTATCTCTGCTTAGTTTTCGGTCCCTCTGATTCTCCAGCTCTGGGCTGGAGAATCAGGAGGGAGAACACAGATCTACAGAGAAGGGCTGACATGATCTCCTGAGTGTTATAAACTGTGAATGACCAGAGAATAGCTGAGATCTGTTGAATCGCAGCTATTCTCTGTGTCATAAAAGGACACCTAAGTTTGTTAACCAGTTCTTACCTGTTACCGTTCTGATGTTTACGGTTAATACTGTATTCCCAAGAAAATTCACTGTATAAGTATTGTACTGTATATTGTATACTTTATTTGTTTTATCTATGTTACCCCTCCCTACGAACAAAATAAAAATTTTGAACGAGAGTCACTGCTTGGAGCTGACTGAGAACTGAGCAATCAGTATTCATGTGATCGCTCAATTCTTGGACTTAGAGCCCATGTTGGACAGCTGCAGCATGGAGTGGATTATGTTTTTTTTTTAAGTCCCATACTCCTTTAATGGACCTGTAAACTATTTTTCATTAAATAATTTCTTACTGTGTCTTTCTGCCTCCTTGTGAGCTCTCTTTTTCCCTCTCGCTTCCTTCTGTTTGGAATGAGCTCTGCACGTTAATTGCGGTCATCTGCACTGCTCTATGCACACTATACACCCCATATTCCATAGGCCCTAGTCCATCTCAGGAGCAATTAAAAGAGGGTGGCTATGTTCCTACATACAGTATGACCATGGGGAACAAATATAGCCACCCTCTAACAGGAAGTCAGATCACAGCAGCAAAAAAAAGAAATACATTTGGAGATCTGGACAAGGCTGACAGCAATGGAAAGTACTTTTTAAATATAGGAATACATACATGAATAGAGTTTTTTATTTTTAAACTCCAAACACCAGATATGAATTTTGTGAATGGCCAAGTGTAAAGAAGATACAACACCAGTTCAATGTCTACATGCAATGCTGAGGTTGCAGACTTGTAGCAGAAGTTGTACTATCCAGTTAAACTAAAAGGACTCATTTTAAAGCTTTTTTTTAATATACAAATCTGAGATTCAATTACTACACTGCAGAGGAAACCACTTAAAGTGGTTGTAAAGGCTCAAGGTTTTTTACCTTCATGCATTCTATGCATGAAGGTCAAAAATCTTTTGTGTGCAGCAGACTCCCCAGACCTCCTAATACTTACCTGATCCCCATCGCGATCCAGCGATGTGCATAACAGCCTTGGCTCTCCGCTGACTCTCCCTCCTCATTGGCTGAGACAGCAGCAGGAGCTATTGACTTCTGCTGTTGTCCATCACAGCCAGTGAGCCAATGAGGAAAGAGAGGGGGTGGGGCCAAGCTACAGCTCTGTGTGTGAATAGACACACGGAGCAGCGACTTAGGAATGTGCCTGCTCGGGTGCCCCCAGAGCAAGCTGCTTGCTCTGGGGGCACTTGGCTGGAGGGAGGGGCCAGAAGCATTGGCAGGGAGCCGAGAAGAGAAGGACTGCTCTTTGCAAAACCATTACACAGAGCAGGTAAATATGACATGCTTGTTATTTTTTTTAAATTGCCTTTAATATCACTTTAAAGCTCAAAAAGTATGAAAATGCTTGTACCTGGAATCAGGCTTCAGCCTACAATTCCATAAAGGGGCTTTCTGGGCAGTTTTTTCTGTGTTCAATCCTATGTTGGGTTTTATATAGAGCCTATTTTATTGTTACAACACTAAGCAGGGAGTAAAGGATAAACTTAACACTATTAAATAAAAATATGTGCCAATTCCAATAAAACTACTGCTGGCACATAAGCAATCCAAAATGTAGCTAGTGGTAGGTTGGTCAGTACATTTATCTAAACAAAATTTACTTTAAACTGGAAAAAAAATTAACAGCCCTGATGAATAATAAGGCACAGGTGGTTTCTGTTCAAGGGTCAAATGGGGTAAAATTCAGGAATGATGAGAGGATTACAAAAAAATAAAATAATGTTTTGATCTGATTGCACGGGGGGTAAAAATAAAGACACTAAGATGAAAACAAAATAGTGCCATGAATTACATATGGGGTTTCTGATGGGCTTGATTTTACGTCAAAACTCACCATCTCAAAACCACTTCTTTTCATCCGCCTGCAGGACTTGAGGTAAGTGCGTATACGTTTTCTGGCACGCTCTTGGTACTCAGGAAATTGTCGCCTGCATGAGTCAATGATTGCCTGGATCTTTTCTTTGGGCTGCTTAGAGATAGGGACCATTCGGTCCAAGTTTTCATCTACAAACAGCCTGACAAACATCTGTTGGTAAGAGAGAGACAGAGGAGAAGGGATTGGAGGGGCTGCTCTTGTCTCTCATCTTACTACCACACCTTCCACAGAGACAGGAGTAAAGACTTTCCATGAAAACAATAATGTATATACAGAGATTCATCATTCTAGACCAAGAACACTTCCTGGTGGAAATAATAATGGGATACACCAGCAGACAATAACGTAATAATGATGCAAAGAAAAAGGAATCCCAAAAAAGCATACTTTGGCAACTTTTTGTAATGTGCTCTGCATCGAGTTTATACTCCTAAATCAAACCATTGGCACAGACATTCACAGAGAATAAAGCACACAACACAAATATGACTGCAACACAGGAAACAAAAACATTGTGCACATTTCTCTAAGGCAAAAGGGTAAAAGAAAGTATAAAACTAAAAACAGCAACTAATTAAAGCTTGCACACACTGGGACCTTACTTTATCCCAGGCCTGGGATAGTAGGATGAAAGTTATTATGTGGCAGTGATAGTAATCAGGTAGGGGTGCTAGTGCTAACTTATTTACCACCTAACTCCAGTTTTTTTTTTTTTGTTTTGCATAGAGCAGAAAAGAATTAAACTTTCTGTCAGGTTTTTTTTTTCTGTGTTTGTTTTTTGTTGTCTGTGACATCATTGGGAAAATATTCCTGTCCCTCTAACACCCATACAAGAAATGGGGGGGCATTACTCAGACAGAGAAGTGCAGACATCAAGAAAAACATCCTTGGAGGATAGAACACTTCCTTACACCATAAAGGTCCTATTTTGTCTTTATCTCCACTGGAGAGATTTTACATCTCTTCCTGTCCTTGAAGAAAGCAAGGGGACATCCCTCAAATAGGAACACAAATACCAATAAAATACAAAAAGAGGTTTTAACCCTTCCTTGTTCTATCCAAAATGATATAAAAGGTTTTGGCTTGAAGTGGGACTTAATCCTACACCTGCATAATACTGGATAATGTTATATCAACAGATTTTAAAATACATGTTCATATTTCACACCTATAACTGTTTAACTCTGGCTAATGTTAAATAATCAGCTTTAAAAATGCACACATCCATAAGTAGTTTGCTGATAATTTAGAGTGAACATGTGCACTAAAGAATTTACAGATTCTGAACAAGCAGTTAAAGCACTTTCAGATAAACTCTCACAACCCTCTGTATCTATAAGCAGTATGGAGAAATTAATTGAAAGTTCACAATACAGGCACTGTATATTTCTATGAGCGCAAAATCTTGGCAGGATGCCAGCCCTCTAATGTAAACACAATGCAGGTGTTTCAAAGCTGTTAGAAAAGGACTGGAACCTTACTCTTTGTTGCAAACTTTGGGGATCTTTGAACATTAATAACTTTACATTAAAAGCACCCAGAGAGGTAAAAAAATTGTTTGCTTGCTTGTTTTAAAGCTCTTCTACTCTACTGCTTGTTAAGAATATGTAAATCATTTAATGTCCATAATCTGGGTACAGGTGTACTTTATGTGCAGCACTCAAAGGGACACTGGTTCTGTACCTGTTTGTAATTCTCACACACCCCATGTTTACTGCCATTATAAAGCCCTATAATTTTCTAAAGGGCCAAATATACTGTTAATTTTAATGTTTATGTCGAGTACAGATTAGAGGTTTTCATTCAAATTATTTGCAGAGCAAATGCCATACATATTTAATCTGTAGGTGTTAAAAACATGGATTCAAAACAAAGCTCTTTTTTTTTTAAATCGACACTTTGGCTCCAAAGCATTTGCTGTGCATTAAGGTTCTATGCATACTGTTATTTTCATCTGAAGGCAATTTTCACTGTGCAGCTGCTCTTCCTGCTTAGCACATCACTGTAAAAGAAAGACCTCAACTCACATGCAACAGATTATATCAATCTAAACTTCTGCCATTGATTTGCTGTCTGTATACTGAGTCTTTTCTGTTCACCTAAGTGCTTCTAACAAGTTACCAAACTTAGGTTCAGCAAAACTTGCAGTCAATATTTTGAAATGCAGGGCGTGTTTTCTGGCACACAATTGTCATATACCAGCGCACTTGTTTTCACTAACCTGTACCTTATTTAACAGGGGATAACAAAACTTTGAAACATGTAACTGAAATAAGATCTACTATTTTGACTACAACTACAACCTGTATTTTTTTTCTGCTTGAAATGTCTTGAGACCTAAATACAGAAATATATATTTTACATGCAAACAAGAAGCATAACTAAATCAAAAAGTGAAAAAAATGAACAAACAAAAAAAAAAAGTGGAAAATTGCCATTTTACATTATAATCCCTGGCTTGTTTGATAGCAAAGCAAACCAAGATAATCACTGTACTAAATGAAAAAACGGAAAGCAGCATTAAAACAACAAATGAACTACCATGTATTTAAATGTGAAAGTTTTAATTTTAAAACATTTTCCTTCACATTTACCCATTGACATGGGAGTGATTATAGCTCAGTCACTTTGAATCCTTACATTAAAAGCTTTCAAGCGTTCTGCTTCCACGCCATCTGCTTCAGTTGCCTTCTCTACATCCTCATGGTCATCGTGGTCATCTTCATCATCATCCCCCCGGTTCAAAGACAGATCTTCACCGCAACCACCTACACTTTCATTTTTACCAGAGTCATAGCTGGAGTAGCTATGTGCTGGAGACTGAGAGAAAAAAAGAAGAAGAAAGATTAGTTTATCATTGTCACCTACCAATTCAGGATAGTTCCTTACGATACGATTAATCAGAGGAAGAGTCCAGACAAATTTTAAATGTCAAGCAAAATGTTTAAATAAACACTATTATGTGTTTGAGGGATCTGGCAGCCCTCTTCAACATATTTGTGTTCTGTTGCATACAGCTGATATAGATGGTATTGGTTTGCCTGTTTTTGCCACTAATGTGAACCTGCTTAGAAAGGGAAATTCAATAGTTGAATTAAAACACCAGTCCATCCAGTTCAACCTGAGGTTGTATGTGACTACTATTTTCCGTACATTGTGCTTACTAAGAAACACATCTAAAAGTTTCTTAAATGTACCTACACTTCCCACCGACAATGCCCATTATGGAAGGGAGTTCCACATCTTCATCTCTCCAACAGAAAAGAACCGCTTAAGCAGTTTGAGATTCACCTGTTTCTCATTCAACTTCATTGTGTGGTCATGTGTCTTTTTAGAGACTTTTGGTTAGATAGTTCCCTCCCAATTCTAGAGTCTCCATTCAAAGATTTGTATATTGTGATCAGGGGCGGACTGACAACTCATGGGACCACCGGGCAATAGGGGATCATGGGGCCCCTGTGTCCTTGCCCAAACTCAAAAAAGCCTATAAAAAAAGATACCAGGGGCATCTCATGGGGCCCCCTACTGACCCTGGGCCCTCGGGCAGTGCCCGAGTTTCCAAATGGTCAGTCCGCCCCTGATTGTGATCATATCCCTTCCTAAGCATCTTTTCTACAAGGAGAATACGTTTAATGTCATTGATCATAGCTGAGGTCCTTCAGCCCCCTTATTAGCTTTGTTACGCTTCTCTGGACTCTCGCTAGTGTAAGCACATGCTTCATGAGAATTGGTGACCAGAACTGGATAGCATTATCTAGATGTGGCCAAACCAACGTTTTGCAATGTGGTGGAATTATGCTTTTATACATACAGATAAGCCTGGGCCTGGGGCATTAGATCACTGCCTTTTTTGGCTAGATTGTGAAGGTGTCACCTTATATCTACGGACACCCTTTTAAGTAACACATTAGACATGTTCAAAAGTATTTTAAAACTACTATGCCATGCATGGGTGTAGTTCCACACATACTTTAGATGAGACCAGTGCTATCTTCCTGATAATTAAAAAAAAAAAAAGTCCTCCCAAATATGATTTATAGGTGGAGCATGTTTAACTGAGAGAAACTGTAGTTTTGTGCATGTCTTAGATACTCCAATAGCAAGCCTTCCTTGCCATACTTCTTAGCTCTCTTTCTGTCCACTTTGAATGTTCCACCTACAATTACAGCCAATGCTTTCCTAAATCTATATAAAAAACAGACCAAATATTATAGTTAATCTGGTTGAAAGAAGACACAAGTTCATCCAGTTCAACCAACTGAGAAAAAAAAGAGACACACACAAATAGAAACCCTCCATATACGCTATCCTGTACCCACAGTTGGTCCAGAGGAAGGCAAAAAAAAAACCCAATAGCATGGCATGGTCCAATTTTCTCCAGCAGAGGAAAATACATTTCTTCCCAATCTCCCAGGAGGCAATTGGTTATTCCGTGGATCAACTTCACCAGTCTTTATTAATTGGGTAATATGTAATATATATTTTGAGCAAAGGACACGTTGTTTGGGGGAGGAGGGGATATCATAAAAAGATAGCAGGCATTTTTAAGTGCTGGTGCTTAGTCAATGGTAGAGCCCAAACCATGACCCCCCCCCCCCCCCATCATGCAGCTGCAGAGTAATGTACCTTAGACCCCCAAGCTCTATATTATATAAACATAACTCTGAAGCCCAGCTGCAGACATTACTTGTTACTGGGTTTTAATAGTAACATTTTTTTTATGTTTGTTTTTTTTATTTCTTTCTGGTTCCCCACTTGGGAGATTTCCCCCCCTTCCTGACCCAGTGACAAACTATGTGACAGGTTGTGACAGGGTGTCAATGACGGAAGAGCTGAGTGGCAATCTTCCCAATTCAAGCAATTAAAACCTGAATGGGGTTCCACCTCTTCACTACTCTATCTACATCACAAACACAGGTTGGGCGTGAGCTGGACTTTTGCTTTCATTGAACTGTTTAAAGTATGTCCTTGAAATATAAAAAAAAAATATTTAAAAACACAAACACTGTTGCACAATAAATATCATCTACACATCACATCAAAAGCAATGTACGAATTGCTGTGTGCATCTTACAATTATTTGATTTCACCATTCTGGATAACAGGAGACTGCACTGGGACATATTGCTGCTATCACTGTGTGTGTATGGAAATGTGCTCCCTTATGGCATGTATGGTTACCTTCTATTGATATGTCCATAGCTGGACACCTGCAAGAGACACCACAATAGGTACAGTAAAGTTTCCAAAACAGAGATACTGGTTATCTACTGTAATTATAACATTGGATAAACAGACCACACAATGTCTTTATTTTGGGACACCACTATATAATAATTTATATCTATATTTCAACCAATATAGCATTACCAGGAGTGTGATTTAATTAAATATACATTGAACAAGAGATATGGAGATCCACCTCCATCAGTAGTGTGCAGAAAAAACAGAACTGACTCCAAACATACATAACAAGTGAACCATATATGTGCCCTTACGCTCCAATTATAAGCAGCTACTATGTCACAGAAAAACATATGCCACAGATATGGGAAGCTGTACAGTGCATTTACTATTTGAGAAATAAGAAAACATCTCATGAATTACTCCTGGGGTGCAAGTGTAGAGGTAATGTGCAGAGTCCGTGTAGACATAATACATAATGACAACTACACCCAGCATTAAAGAACAAGAAAAATAACAATATGCAGTGTTCATATACACAGAAGGAGAACAGATATTGAGAATTACACCCAGCACAAGGAAGTGTTACTATGCATCACCCATACATACAGAACAACAGATACTGAGAATTACTGTATATTGCACATACAGTACAGTACAGGACAAGAGAATGCCACAGTGTAGTGTCCAGACATACAGAATAGGAACAGAGAATAGTCAGAATAACACCAAGAACATAGCACAACAGTAACACTGTGTATCATCCCTACATACAGAATAAAAATGTATCATCCCTACATACAGAATAAAAAACAGATACTGAGAATTACACCAAACATACAGAACAAGTCAAGAAGTATTCTGCATACATATGGAACAAGAAATGTGATAATGTGCAGTGTTTATAAATGTAGAATATGAAAATATTCAGAAAGTTATACTTGCATAAGGAATCTTATTCATACTAAAGCAATGGAATAGACAGCGGATGTTCATATAGCAAGTGGAAAGTACAATAGTGGACACTCCTAAGAAGCTGGAACCTGGGTTGCTCCTTAAACTGCCCTAATTATGATCAAACACTTCCCCATGACTGAACTACCATTAAAACATTTAGCTGACTTTCGCCCCTTTATCAGTGATCTGCATACCCTTCCTAAAAGTTGCCAACCACTGGCAACAGCTTCTAACATGGCTTCTTACGCATTGGATGGTTCTCTTCAGATTACCACTGCTGCTCTAAAGTTTAGTTAGTTCCAAGGGGGCTTTACTGCTCAACCCAGATTTTAATTGCCTGCTAATGCAGACCAATCAACAGTTTAATTGGAAGAATATAATATATCACACCAGAAACTGTTAGAGAGAGTATCTGAGTTTAAACAAATATGCTGGTCATTCATTTTTCTTAATACATTTGTAGTTCAGTTATGGGTGGTATAAGGTCAGAAATGGGGGGACTGAGCTTTTTCATGTAAACACTTAAGCACCAGCAAATGTGTGTAATAAGTAAACTCTGGGGATAAAATGAGCTGATCTGAGCCCTTCCAAAGAGACCACAGCTAGCATTACACAAAATATTCAGTACATTCCATCAACAAATTATACTGCAGCATTGCTTATTCTATGCAGTGATCTCTATTATATTAATCTCGGTATAATTTACTTTTTGATAATAATTGTAAAACCACTGTATTAAAAAGAATAGCAATAAAATTAGTGCTAATAACATTCTGCTAGCAGAATCTGCGCTATCCATAAAATTAAAACTGATCATCTTTTTTTGTGTGTGTGAAAACTATTCCCATCTTAAAAAAAATATAGAGACTACATTCTGTTAAAGCATCTTTTAATACAATTAGCCAGGTAAGTGGAATTTTATAATTTTATACAGCCAGCGGAGGCAGGCTCAATCTGAGGGGTTTATAATGATATTTGTGCAATCTTAGGTTTGTGAATGGGTACTTGAATTTATGGTCATCCTAAATGAGCTAATGAGATATATTTATATGAGCTGTCTGAAGAGACGTATTAGCATGCTGTGAAATTTTATTGAGAAGATAGAAGTATGCATGATGCTTACTCCCTATTCAGCAGGTCATTTTATCCTTACCTTTTCATTACGGTCATAGCATTCTTTATTGTTTTAAACTAATAGATTCCAACTCAGATTTATGGCATGTGAAGAAACAATAATTCTTTAATATCAACTTGATTAAAATATGCTAAATCAAATACAGATTTAAAAAAAACACTAAATCAAATGGTAATGTGGATAGACAGTAATTTTAAATTGTAGAGTTTTTTGTTCAACTGGAAGGAAAAGTAAAGGGGATTTCTAATGATCACCACTGTGTAGGACTACGTAGCAGGAAGCAGAGCCTATCTGTATAATGAGCAAATATGGCAGGCCCTATGTACATATATAATCATTAACTAAAACATAAAACTAATGATTTTTTGCCTGCAACTCTTCAACATGTACAAAAGGCCTTGAGAAAATTACATTCTATTTAAAATGAACTTCTCATCACTGAAACAAAGCTGATACACTGGTTCTGGCAGCACACTAAAGATAGGCAGGCTGGGGGGTGGTTGGTTCTGTGTTTGTTGGTGGGATTTGGGGCGATGAGGAGGAGGGGGGGCAAAAAAGATAAGTAGATGTATCCTTAGGTTTTGAGTTAATATATTTTTTATTTTATTAAGTTTACAAGTTTAAAAGCTATAATTTCTAATATTGTTATTTTTCAAATAAACCTTTAATACATCACCTATAATAAAGGTTTTATAAGGCATTCTTGAATTTCTGAAGACATGGTCAGGCACTAGATGTTCCTTTTGTGACTGTCTATGTCTTACTGAACTGTTAGATAGTCACACAAGGCGGGGTTAAGTCACTCCTCCAACTCATTTAGCAGTGTGCGAAATGTAAGCTTCAGCTATTCTCCTCTGAAAAAAGCATTTGTTCAGCATAGTAGTTAATGTTATTCTGGTAAATCTATGAAAATTAGACCAGAGCTCGTTATGGTACAAAATAAAAATTAGACCAGAACTCAACATGTTACATGGAAATAATAAATATTAAATATTCTAGGACAATATTTCATATTAAAGAGGAACTGCGGTCATTTGGGTAGTGGCTCTGCCCCCCTTCGGAGCCACAATTATGGCGCATGCGCAGATGTACCTGAGGGCATTGCCCGGCCCTCATGTCTTTACAGAGCCCCTTGGCATGTTTGCACACGTGTAGGTGATCTGCCGCACATTGCACAAAAGCAGAAAAGATTTGGGATTATTCCTAATATTCATCTTTGCACTTGCATGGGAAACCCCATGTATGTGCAGAGCAACTCGTGCATGAACAGATGTGTCACAGGGTTTACTTAGCTCTGTAATACATCTGTGCTCATATGGGGGGGGGGGGGCAGGGGACAAAACTATAATTCTTTGCTAGGTGAGAAATGCCAAAGTGCACAAATAAATGGCATCAATTAAAAAAACTATTTCCAATTGAAAGAGGAAGGGGCGAGGAGGCAAGGCAACATCACATATATACTTTAGGGTAAAGGTCTGCTTTAAGCTGGCAAAAAATATGAAAAATAGTAAAGGCAATATATGCAAACAAATATAGAGTAATCGTTTGTTATTTTTAATAAATGTATTGATTTACTACAGAAATTAAAAACTGTCATGTAACATAATCCAAAAGGAGAGCAATCATTACCTATTTGCATTTTCAGTCCAAAAAGAAATAAACAAATGTAGCTCAATTCCTTGGTAAACTGTATATCTAGGTTTATCCATATATATGAATATCTAGGAGCTTTTAGAATAACTTTTATAATAGGGAATAATCACTGACCATAGACGTAAATCTGGTTTTGAAGGGGTTTTCCACTGAATGACTATAATGTAAATAGACTTTAAGAGGGCCTTCCCACTAACTGATTACCAATATATATGTGGCTTTTAAGGGTCTTTCCACAGAATGACTACCAATCTAAAATGGATTTTAAGAGGGCCTTTCACTGACTTACTACCAGTGGAAAGGGGCTTTGAAGCGGCTTTTTGCAGACTGGTTACCAATGTAAAAGGGACTTTAAGAGGGCCTTCGAACTACCTGGCGATCAATATAAAGGAGGCTTTAAAAGGGCCTTTTACTAACTAACCACCATGGTACATTTTACAAGGACCTTTCAGCTGATTGACCACCAATGTAAATGGGGCTTTAAGAGGGTCTTTCCACCAACTAACCATCAGTATAGTGAAGGTTTTCATTAAGATACAACATTCTATTCACCAAGCATGTAAGCATAATGGTAAACCCATAATCTGCTATGCCAGCTGTTTCAAAAGCACTCCCTCTGTCCACAAAACATGCAGCTTAAGCAGAATAAACACTGCTGTTACTGAAATGTAAATTTAGATTTTTTTTGTCAAATATCAGTAAGCATCAATCTTCATCGTTAACCACTCCCACAGTTTTCTGATACATGTCTGCTGCTCTATAGAAGTGAATGAACACATCAATGTCATATTAGGAGAAGTATTTTTGAGCATAGTGTAATTGTTCACCTGGCTTTACCTTCATTGTGCTGTGCTAAAGTCACTAATTTTTGTAACAAACTATGCATGGGTAAGTTTTTTTATAAGCTAGTTAACATTTGAGAGTAGTCTCTGTAAACATTGGATAAGGAAAAATTTGCTATATAGAGGGCTTTTCACTGACTACCAGAGTGAAAAAGATAAAAACATAGAAGTGATTACGACACCATAGAGCACCAATGAGTAGAGGGTAAAATAAGGGTGCATTTGGGCCACTGGTTATCAGTAGAATAGGGGGCAACTGCTGATGTAAAATGCCAGGTATGATGGTGAGGTCATGGAAAGGGTTAGGGGGTCCCCATTAAAATTTTTCTGTGGGATACTCTGACAGGAGTTATCATAGTAATGTTTTATGTCTAACAAGGAGAGAATGTGCTATATCTTAAAATGATAACTGAAGTTATAACAAATATTTGCAGATTTAAAATTACATTAAAGGTCTGGCTTTAAAAAAAAAAAAAAAAAACAAACATGTCACACTTACCTGCTCTGTGCAATGGTTTTGCACAAAGAAGCCCCGATCCTCTTCTTCTCGGGTTTACTTCCAGTGCTCCTGGCTCCTCCCCCTTGACAAGTGCCCCCAATAGCAAATCACTTGCTATGGGGGCACTGGTGCGTGCTCGCTCCCAAGCCCTGCTCTGTGCACCCATAAGACACATACAGCTGTAGCTCGGTCACACACACTGACAGCAGTGGGAGCAAATGGCTCCCTGCTGTCTCAACCAATGAGAGGGAGTCCCGGGACAGCCGAGGCTCCCGTACACATCGTTGGATCGAGAGGGGCCTCAAGTGAGTATTATTAGGGGCTGTGGGGGGAGCAACACACGGAAGGTTTTTTTACCTTCAAGCATAGAATGAATGAAGGAAAAAACCTTCAGCCTTTATAACCACTTTAAGCATGGAAAAAATTATTGGATAAAGGGTAATTAGAACTACAGTAAGTACTGTTATAACACTAAAATAGAACTGCTCAGCCTGTGGTAGTCTACGTCCTTGACAACCAGACAGAGGCCACATTCACTTCACTCCCACATGCCTCTAGCATGCTGTTGCGAGCCTGAGAGAAACACATTGCAAAAGGCTCAGGATCCTAAACTAGAATTTTTGTTGCAGTATCTGGCTATGATTAGCCTTGCAAGAACATTTCACACATTTAAATCTTCAAAAGTTGTTATAAATGTTATCCAGTAAGGTTTGTCACCTGAGGAACCTGGCTGAAGAAAAGTCAGGCTGACTTTTTCAAAGGAAAGAATTAGATCAAAAAATAGTAATTGTTGGCAAATACACTTTGCCCTTATAGCATACTGCTTTTGACATCTGAATAACTATTTTGTTGAGAACAACACACATATAATTTCTTCACTGCCTGTGTTAAATACAGTCTTTTAAATCTCTCAGGCTGTAGATATTTTTTATTTACAGAAGCAAAAGTGCCCAAGCAATTCTCCCCTAAGGAATAAATTACCCCATATCCCTCAGAAAAGTTAGACTTCATCACATTTCACAAAAATGTCTAAAAAATAAAAGAAAACCCCCAAAAACTCATATTCTAATTAACATATTTTCTTGAATGATAACAAAATTTTAACTTGTCATGTTATCTTCCATGATGAAAACCAACTTGAAGACAGCAGCAACTTTGTTGTAACAATAAGAATGTTAATCCCTGAATAGTTCCTTTGGAAAACCTATTTTTTTTCTGGATTTTTCCTAATATATTCCGTTAGCAAAAAGCACCTCTTACTTTGGTTACCAAACAAAACGTAGGGTACGTAGACACTTTACATGGTTCTCAATTATGAAAGATTTAATGCATTTTGAAATTAACTCATTTCAGGCTTATGATAGTCCTGTATGTCCATGCTGTGTGCTGGTTACAACAACTCAATGCAGGACAGGTTGTGCAAACATGAGGAATTGGAGGGCACTTCTGTCCAATTTACATTTTTCTGAGAACAGGTTTGAATGTAATTGGTTGGTGCATACATTAGCTCAGTACAGACAAAGTTCTTAAACATAGAAAGTTGATACATATTTTTTTTACATTAAATTATATGTAAGGTGAAACACAGAATTTGGCAGTTATCATTGTTCCTAAGTAGACTGGCTAAAATAGCTTTGCATAAATCTTTACCCTTTCTATCAGGCAACCACAAAAAGTATCTCAGTACCCATACCTGAATGTCTCTTTGTAACTGCAGGATAATTAATATCTCAGGATATGTTTCATTTACATGTAGTAAATTAAATTTCCCTCAAACAGAGAATGGGTGCAAAAATAAACACAGGTGGATACACTCTCTAATACGATTTATATTATATAAATTAGATAACATGTACAGTATATATATATATATATATATATATATATATATTACGATTGAGTGAATGTGAACTTTCAACAGCAATGATGTCATAGTGCTGATTATGAAAGTTGGTATAAAGATATTAGTTTCACAATAAACATAGCACAAAATGACAAATGCTGAAGTGGTGGGATTGGTGCATTCCAATGACAGTGAGAGCAATACTTGCTATAACATTGTCTTCAAAAGGCCTCTGGAAATGGCCCAGACAAAAGAGGACAATCTGATCTTTTAGGCTGTGGATTTGATATAGGACAAACAATTCAAAAATGTAATAAAAATAATAATTTTTGCTAAACGTAGCTTGACGTATAACATTTTATATGACTTACCTTGCTTCCATTCTCTCTCGTTTCCCGCTCCATCTTTATATCTGTCATTAAGAAGTTTTTGTACTTTGTTTTTCCATTACTAGTGTGATCATCTATTTGCAATTCAGAATTTAGTGGTGCTGACAGTGGACAGTCACTCAAATTCAAGGGCTGTTCATCTTGCTCAGAACTAGCTTTTCCATTGCTGCTGGCTTCCGTCACCTCCCTGCTGAGTGTTCCTCCTGGTGGATTTGAGCTGTGTCCTAGGGTATCATTACCACTAAAACTCTCTGGAGCGGAATCATCTGCAAAACATTTATTTTAAACAGCTGCTTAGTTTTTCATACTGTCTGGGAGACCAAGAGTTTACGAAACACATATTTTTTTACCACAGCTAAATTCAACATGATATGTAAAACTTCAATCAAAATGTTTATTAATCAGAGTGTGTTTAACATCAAATGAACTGCTCTCAACAACACCACCAAGCTGAACATAGAAGTCTTTGGAATACGGGCATTTTTCAGGACCACTAAATAAAGTACTGTGTGATCTGGAGTCAAGGAGATAGCTGAGAACAATAAAATACAGCAAGCAGGAAAAGGGTCTCGGTACTATTAGAAGAGGACAAATAATTATGATATGGTATATAAAGTTATGCAATTAGCTATTCAAATGGAACATTCAATATTTATTGTATGCTAAATGGCACTAGCCATAAAAAATCAGTTGTGAAAAGGCATTATTTATAGAGACAATTGTAAAGCAGGTTACCAGTCTATTTATGCGATTTAAAGCTGAAGTTGATGCAGATATACAGTCAGGTCCATAAATATTGGGACATCGACACAATTCTAACATTTTTGACTATATATACCATCACAACGGATTTGAAGTGAAATAAACAAGATGTGCTTTAACTGCAGACTGTCAGCTTTAATTTGAGGGCATTTACATCCAAATCAGGTGAACGGTGTAGGAATTACAACAGTTTGCATATGTGCCTCCCACTTGTTAAGGGACCAAAAGTAATGGGACAATTGGCTTCCATGGCTAGGTGTGTGTTATTCCCTCATTATCCCAATTACAATGAGCAGATAAAAAGTCCAGAGTTCATTTCAAGTCTGCTATTTGCATTTGGAATCTGTTGCTGTCAACTCTCAAGATGAGATCCAAAGAGCTGTCACTATCAGTGAAGCAAGCCATCATTAGGCTGAAAAAACAAAACAAACCCATCAGAGAGATAGCAAAAACATTAGGCGTGGCCAAAACAACTGTTTGGAACATTCTTAAAAAGAAGGAACGCACCGGTGAGCTCAGCAACACCAAAAGACCTGGAAGACCACGGAAAACAACTGTGGTGGATGACCAAAGAATTCTTTCCCTGGTGAAGAAAACACCCTTCACAACAGTTGGCCAGATCAAGAACACTCTCCAGGAGGTAGGTGTATGTGTGTCAAAGTCAACAATCAAGAGAAGACTTCACCAGAGTGAATACAGAGGGTTCACCACAAGATGTAAACCATTGGTGAGTCTCAAAAACAGGAAGACCAGATTAGAGTTTGCCAAACGACATCTAAAAAAGCCTTCACAGTTCTGGAACAACATCCTATGGACAGATGAGACCAAGATCAACTTGTACCAGAGTGATGGGAAGAGAAGAGTATGGAGAAGGAAAGGAACTGCTCATGATCCTAAGCATACCACCTCATCAGTGAAGCATGGTGGTGGTAGTGTTATGGCATGGGCATGTATGGCTGCCAATGGAACTGGTTCTCTTGTATTTATTGATGATGTGACTGCTGACAAAAGCAGCAGGATGAATTCTGAAGTGTTTCGGGCAATATTATCTGCTCATATTCAGCCAAATGCTTCAGAACTCATTGGACGCCGCTTCACAGTGCAGATGGACAATGACCCAAAGCATACTGCAAAAGCAACCAAAGAGTTTTTTAAGGGAAAGAAGTGGAATGTTATGCAATGGCCAAGTCAATCACCTGACCTGAATCCGATTGAGCATGCATTTCACTTGCTGAAGACAAAACTGAAGGGAAAATGCCCCAAGAACAAGCAGGAACTGAAGACAGTTGCAGTAGAGGCCTGGCAGAGCATCACCAGGGATGAAACCCAGCGTCTGGTGATGTCTATGCATTCCAGACTTCAGGCTGTAATTGACTGCAAAGGATTTGCAACCAAGTATTAAAAAGTGAAAGTTTGATTTATGATTATTATTCTGTCCCATTACTTTTGGTCCCTTAACAAGTGGGAGGCACATATGCAAACTGTTGTAATTCCTACACCGTTCACCTGATATGGATGTAAATACCCTAAAATTAAAGCTGACAGTCTTCAGTTAAAACACGTCACATGTTTCATTTCAAATCCATTGTGGTGGTGTATAGAGCCAAAAATGTTAGAATTGTGTCGATGTCCCAATATTTATGGACCTGACTGTAAAACACCCTTTAATGCAGTTATGTATTCATTTACAACATAATTATATGTATTTTTATATGCAACTAACATAGGAACCCCAATATGTCTTGGTACCAGCCTTTAGTTTGTTGTACATAATTTGTACTCAACATACAGATTGTGAGAGGGAGGGGAAGCATTAGGAGCCAGTCAGGTGTGTTGCTGTGCATGCGTGCTGACAAGGACTATGCTGACAGATGGAGTGAGAAGAGAGAGTAATATTGAGCCTATACTGAATATCTACAGTCACCAGCCTTGCTATACAGACTAGCTGGGCTAATTGTATGACTGGTTGGACAGAATGCAAATCTTTTGCAAGGTAAAAAGCGCTCATGCTTGGATTTTAACAACATATTCTAATAAAACTTTCAAATGTTTGTAAGATCCTGTCATATGCCGACTTTGCTGGACTTTCAAGGTTAGTTGTCTGAGCTAGCATAGAACATTCTGAAAATGTTACAAATCAGGGAAGTATTATTTCAGCTACACTCTGTTCTAAAGACCTTACACTTTACTAGTTGACTTAAATTGGATTAAAATCATGTGATCGCTTTGCAGAAAAAGTAAGTACATTAAAAAGGGTTTGAAGTTTTGCACATAAATCAATAGAGTGACAAGTATAGTTGAAGTTTAACATTTCATATTTTGGTGATTTTTCATTTCTTTTATGTATTGCATGATTATCATGTACATGGTCATTATTGATACAGTACTAAATGATCCTAAAAAGGATGCAATAAAATGTATACAAAAATATGATAATCCTGACTTATGTACTAAGTAGTTAATAGTAACCACAAAAAAAAGAAAAAAAGAAAAAATAAGCAATTAAGCCTGTTAGCGGGAAATACACGCATTTTCCTAGCCACTAACCAGGCTGGAACTGAGGACATATTAGGGAAAGAGGAGGGAGCCATTGACCATAATCACAGTTGTTTGGCTGGGATATTCTGATGAGAAGAATTAAAGGCTGTTTTTATGCATACCAGAAATAAGAAACACTTTCTGAAGGGATATCTGATTATAATAATGCATTTAGTGCACTCATTAGACTGTGTGGAAACATTTCTGCAATATCAAAATACTGCTAGTGTTGTGTTTCTGGAGGGAGCTGTTTCTGCTGAGATGCACATGATTAATTCTCATCATTAAATCAGCCAGCACATACTTGTCCCATGTTTCACAGTGATGGGTGGTTCCTCTACATTATCAAGATCATTCAGATTACAGTTAGGTAAAACATTGAACCCCATCATAGCATTAGATGAGAACAAACCGTCTTCAATGTAATACCCGTTTTCTGACAAATTTTGTCATTTAAAGGTTTGTCTCTTTTTCACTTGGAAATGCTACTATAAGTCTTGCAGAATAAAGATCTTCATCTCTATGGTCAGCTTGATTTCCAAGAGTTAAGAAGTAAAATCATCTAACAGATCATGATGCGCTTTACCACATATTATGTTATTTGATTTACTTGGCAACTATTGTATTCCTGCACAGCCAGTTTTATGATCCTAGAACCCTTGTAAGACAGCACAGGCCAGTCATTTACCTCCACTGCAGCTACACAAGTTGATAAGAAAAGTCAGGGGCCATTCCCAACTTGCTGACTGGACAATGAAGCAGCAGCAGGACACTAATGAGGTTAACACTATGCTCCCTCCGACTGTTAGCAAACGTAGCAGAGACTGATTGGCTCCTATTGCTGGCCCTCCCCCTCCTAGTTAGAGTACTGTTGTGCCGGTGATTGCAAGAGTCTGAAATGAGGATAAATTCTGTTTCTTTTAACAGAAAATTCTCCATAATACTGCAAACTGCCCATGCCTAACAACATTATCTAAACGTTTTTTGAATGGAACAATAAATGCATTCCTCAAAATTTGAACTGAAGCAAGGTAGATTACAAATGTTGATTAATGTTACTGACAGCTGTGCCTGTTAAATATAAAATCTGATTGTGAAAGTTGTTCTTCTAGTCAAAGGAAACCTGCAATGAAATAAATACATAAGCTACCACTGATGCCCTACTGCTAACCATGCTAGTTGACTGGCTATCTAGCTAATGTTCTGGCTTCAACTGAACTGTCAATTTAAATCCGCTAAATGCATTTCAGGTGTATCGAAAAAAAAAGTGTTCAACATGTTATAGTTATTTTTCTCTGGAAAGTCCCCAAAGCCTGAGTATAAAAGCCTGTCTGCTGCCAGCATGCTGCATAGTGGGGCCTTTGCTCTCTGTGGGGAAGCAGTAGTCTCTCTGCAGAGGTTTGACATGCTCCCTGCTCAGTCAGTTCTCCAAGCAACATGGAACGTGAGCAATGCTAAGTGCAGACTTATAGGCCTGATTCAGCAGTGATTCAGACCACTATAGAGGGATGACTTGTTCTACAGTGAAAATATATATATATATAAATATATATACATAGACACACACACCATATTGCCGAAAGTATTGGGACACTAGAGCAGTGGAGACGTGTTCTCTGGAGTGACGAATCACGCTTCTCTGTCTGGCAATCTGATGAATGTGTCTGGACTTGGCGATTGTTAGGAGTACAGTACTTGCCTGACTGCATTGTGCCAAGTGTAAAGTTTGGTGGAGGGGGGATTATGGTGTGGGGTTGTTTTTCAGGGGTTGGGCTTGGCCCCTTAGTTCCAGTGAAGGAAACTCTTAAGTTGTCAGCATACCAAGGCATTTTGGACAATTTCATGATTTCAACCTTTTGCAACAGTTTGGGAATGGCCCCTTCCTGTTCCAACATGACTGCGCACCAGTGCACAGTGCACCAGTGCACAAAGCAAGGGCCATAAAGACATGGATGAGCAAGTTTGGG